GTTAACCCCATTGGTCTCCACTATCCCCATGTTCCTGAGAACCTCATGACAGTTGTCTAAATAATCTTGGGGATCCTCAAAAGATGCACCATTGAAAATAGCAGTGAAGAGCTTGGTGAACCTGTCCAATCTCCACAAGGCATCAGTAGATAAAGCTGCTCAATCACCAGTCTGAGCTACCACACCCGATTGAACTGCTCAAACTGGCTGAGCTGCTGGAGTCTGGAACTGGGGAGCCATCTGCTCCGGAGTGCGGGTAGCGAGAGTCTGTGCTCCTCCCCTAGCCTGAGAGACGGCTGGTGCTACTGGAAGTAAGCCTGCTTGGGTGACACTTTCCATAAGTCCCACTACACGGACCAGAGTATCCTGGAGTACTGGGGTAGCAATGAACCCCTCTAGGACCTGAGATGGGCCCACCGGAACTGCCTGGGTCGGAACCTAATCATCAAACTCAACCTGAGGCTCCGCCGCTGGTGCAGCTGCTCTGGGCTGAGCTTTGCCCCTACCTTGGCCTCTAGCACGGCCTTGGCCTCGGCCACTGCCCCTCATGGGAGCACTGCTAGGGGCTTGGGCTGCTGATCAGTGGATGAGGAAGCGCGTGTTCTCTCCATTTGCGAAAGAACAGAGTAGAAATTCAATTAGCATTGAGAAACCAAATAGCACGACAGAAAAGAATAGATGTGAAGTTTTTCCTAACTTTGTAGCCTCTAGGGATAAATACAAACGTCTCCGTATGGATCCCTCAAACTCTACTAAGCTTGTCCGTGAATTGTGAGACCTAAGTAACCTAAAGCTTTGATACCAACTTGTCACGACCCAGATTTTCCACCCTCGGGAGTCGTATTGGCACCTACTGGTGAAAGCTAGGCAAGCCAATTAGTCCAATTATTTAACCATTTTCATTTTTAATCCCTTAGCAATTCCAAAACAACACAACAAAAGCAGCAGAAATAGTGATAACAAAAACAATGCGGAAAATGAAATTGGATAATTTAGATTAATACAAACTGCGGAAGTCTAAGTACAACTCTACCCAGATTTTGGTGTCACAATGTCACGGACCATCTATGAATACTACAAATAAAGTCTGAATAGAAATACACGAATCTATCTCTGAATAAGTAAAAACAGAAGGAAATGATAGAAAGAGATGCCAAGGCCTGCGGATGCCTACAGGACTACCTCGGGTCACCTGAATGGACTGAAGGCAGCCACCTCATTGCGGTCCAAAAGCTGCAGCACCAGGATCTGCACACAGTGCAGAGTGTAGTATCAACACAACCGACCCCATGTGCTTGCAAGTGCCTAGCCTAACCTCGGCGAAGTAGTGACGAGGCTAGGACATGACTACCAAATAAACCTGTGCAGTTAAATCATATACATCGGAAAATAAAGGCAGAAATGTACAGTTAAGGATAGGATGGGAAACATGTTGTGGGGGTCATCAAGTAATAACAGAAGAACATCAGATAAATATAAGGAACATCAAAGTTCAATTATTAATAAGAATCAGAAATAAAAAACAAGTGCACGACATCACCCTTCGTGCTTTTACTTTCGTCATCACCATAAAATCAATAAAATCAGCACGGTATCACCCTTCGTGCTTTTACCTCACATAATCATGGCACAGAATGATCCTTCGTGCATTATCACTTATATCATGGCACGGAATTGTACATCGTGCGGCACGGCATCACCTTTCATGCTTTTACCTCACAATATCGACACGACATCACCCTTTGTGCATTAACACTCTCAAAAATCATACACGGCATCACCCTTCGTGTTTTACACTCTTCCTCACCCCAAGCAATAATCACAAAGCAATTTGGGCAAGGGAATCAATAATATTTCAATAAAATCCCAGCAAGGGAACAATAGCATAACAACAATATCCCGGCAAGAGAAACAATATCATGAATAATAACGTCCCGGCAAGGGAGATAATATCAAAAATAATAACATCCCGGCAAAGGAGACAATATTATAAACCTCTTCTCTTTTCCTCAATTTCTTCACAACTCATTTCTCAACTTGAGCCAACGCTCTACAATGATCAATTACCAACAATACTTCCACACATCTTGTTCAATAATAGAAATCATCATATAAAGCATGAACAATACGAAACAGAGTCACATTAGTCATAGTATAAGACTCACGGGCATGCTTGATACCAACGTATAGATACTCGTCACCATGCCTATACGTTGTACCCAACAATTAACACATAGCAAATAAGACCCGACTCTTAATCCCTCAAGCTAAGGTTAGACCAAACACTTACCTCGATGTCACGAACACAATTCAAGCCTCAACTACCGCTTTACCTCTTGTTTCCACCACCAATTTGCTTGTGTCTAGCACAATTTACTTAACGATATCAATAAATGCTAAATGAATCAATTCTAATGCATGAAAATAGGTTTTCTAAAGTTTTTTCCAAAAAGTCAAAATTAACCCCTGGCCCACATGGTCAAAACCCGAGATTCAAACCAAAACCCGATTACCCATTCACCTACGAATCCAAATATATAATTTGTTTTGAAATCGAACCTCAAATCAAGGTCCAAATCCCCAAAATTTGAAAAACCTAAGTTCTACCCAAAACACCCAATTTCCCCCATGAAAACTCTTGATTTTGAGTTGAAATTATGTGAAAAGATATTAAAGATTGAAGAAAATGAGTTAGAAATGACTTACAATCGATTTGGAAGGGTAGTTGTCTTTGAAAAATCGCCCAAAGGTGTTTTTGGTTTGAGAGGGTCTGAAAAATGGGAAATTTTCGGCTAAGTTATGATTTAGCAGGTTGCAGATGTCACAATTGCGACCAATTGCGAACCCTTTCAAAACCTGCTGACTTCGCAAATGCGAAGACTATGTCGCCTTTGCGACCTTGAAGGAATCCGGTCACCTTCGCATTTGCAAGGGACCCTTCGCATTTGCGATAAATGGGTCACATTTGCGACCAAGGCCTGCCGAGGCTTGGTTCGCATTTGCGACGCCTATGTCGCAATTACCAAGCCTGAGAACTTTGCAATTGCGAAGCCTGATCTCGCAATTGCGAGATCAGAGGCCTGGGCAAAAATACCAGATACCAGTACTTGATCCTAAGTCCAATTTCACTCCGTGGTCTATCCAAAACTCACCCGAGCCCTCGGAGTTCCAAACCAAACATGCACACTAATCTAAAAACATCATACGGACTTGCTCGTGCAATCAAATCTTTAAAATAATATCAACAACTACGAATTAAACCCCAAATTCATGAAATTATTCAAGAACACCAAAATTTCCAATTTCTCAACTTTAAGTCCGTTTTATACCAAACCAATTCCGATCTTTACCAAATTTTACAGATTCAACCTAATTATTATTTCAAACTTGGATCGGGCTCCAAAACCTAAATACGGGCTCGATATCATCAATTTCAAACATCTTTCATTTCCAAAAATTCTATATATTTTAGAAAATAATTTTCTTTAAAAATTCATTTCTCGGGCTTGGTGCCTCGGAATTCGATTCCGGGCATATGCCGAAGTCCCAAATTTTACTACGGACCCTATGAGACCGTCAGATCACGGGTCCGGGTTCGTTTACCAAGGATGTTGACCAAAGTCAATTTTATTTAATTTTAAAAGCAAATTCCCTTATTTCACTTAATTTTCACATAAAAGCTTTCCGAAAATGCGCCCTTGCAAATCGAGGTGAGACAAAAAGAGGTATTTAAGGCCTCAGATCATAGAAAAAGGTCATCACAGGTCATCCAGAGCATCATTTGGATTAGTTGGGTTAACTTGAGCAACATGACTTGGGGGTGTATCATCATCCAATTGCATTTCATCTAAATCTATTTCCCGCTCATCTTCTTCATTTATAGTTGGATTACCATAAAGGTTGTTCATATATTCATCGTCTACGCATTCACCACCACCAACATTATGCACATATTGACTATCCGTAAATTGTAATAAAATATTATCTCTATCAAGAATATGAGTAGGTGGAGGGCGGGTAAGGGGTTTGAGTAGGGGAGGTCGGGGAATTAGAGGAGGAATAGATTGACCACTAGATTCACCGCTCTTGGATTTTCCCTTATTTTTACTAAATATTTTTTTAAGGAATATGCCATCTTAATTATAATTATACAAAGTGATTAATAAAACAAACAAAAATATAATATTAAAACTAAAGAGTTGGAACGAGTTTACCGGATTGACGAACAACTTGTTGAAATTAATTATTGTTGAAGATTTGAAGACTTGGGTACTTCAATTCACCAACTTCACAATTTTTCACACAAGTTGCAACAACAAAGTAACCAATTTTAGAAGAATATTAGAGAGAGATTGAGAGAGATGGTGAAGAAAAATGAAAGAATGAGGAGATATTTATAGTTGAAAATAGGAAAAAAAATATAATTATAAAAAGTTTGGGGTTAAAATAAAGTTGGGG